AAAAAAAAATGAAGTGAAAAAAATTCAAATTAAATGGATTGGTTCTTGGGCCCGAGTGTGGCACGAGCACGAGCACGGGCACGGCACGAGCCCGGCCCGGCCCGTTTCAATATGGACATGGGCTTTGGGCCGGGCTGGGATTAATAATTTTACTAAATGGGCCGGCACGGCACGGCCCGATAAATTAAATGGGCCGGCCCGGCCCGACACGAAAACGTTAAAAGCACGAGTTTAAATGGGATGGGCCGGCACGACACGGCCCGTTTGACACCTCTAAATGGAACCACATGAAGGAAGCGAAAACGCACCAGACGCCTGAGCCTCAGCGACGGAAGGGAAGAAGAAGAAAAAGAAGATGATATACCGGAAATGGAGCCTGTTAACTGGACCAGTCGCGATCTTGGGAGGCATAGTAGGCACCGTAGTCGTCGGCCACTACCTTCTCATTGAGAACGTAATTTTCCCTTTTGTTCATTTAATTTATTTTCAGATTCAGCATTTCGAATATTTCTTCGTTTAAAATCCGAGATTTTCTGCTGAACTATCAATTGATCCGAATTAGGGTATTGGGTTTCGATTGTTGAGTATAGATCTGGCTTCGTCGAGAAAAAAAAAAAATTCTAGGGTTTCACTGCTTCACTTTCTTAATTAAAGTTGTATGATTTTAGCTCTTTTTGTATTTTCCATCAATTTGAACTGTGTTTAATATGCCTAAATTCCTGCAAAATCAGACTAAATCCAGTGTTTTAGCTTACCAAATCGAGGCTTACTGTGGTTTAATATGTTCAATTGCTGTTTGATAAAATTGCAATTAAATGTATAAAACAGCTGCCACTTCCTTAGAACAACAGCTTGAATTTTTTTGAAACAATAGCTGGGTTGTGTTGTATATTTGCTGAATTTGATTTGAGACATGAACATGGTATTTAGCATTTTGTTTAATTACGCAGGATTGGATGAAGTCGGAGCCCAGAAAGGCTGAAGCATCCGCTTCAAGCAAATAAGAGGAGGAAGGTGAAGAGTTGCATTTTCAGTGCGACCCAAGCTTTTTAGCTTTCTGTCTATATATCTTGAACATGTTGTTCTACAAACTTGTGGTGATGTTGCACTTTCAGATGTGACTTGTTAGTTAATAATCCAGAATTGAAATGTGAGTTCTGATTTGAAGGTTGTGGAGCAAATTCCCTGCATTTGTGTTCTCCGTTGTCCCAACATTGCTTTGATTTTGAATCAAGCTAAGAATCGATGAAATTCGATTTGCTTTCGTTATAAGTGCTTTCATTTCAAGAGTTGATGTGATCAGTTTTTACCCTTTGGTTTATTAGTTCATTGTCTCCCAGCAATAGTACTTAGAGATAGAACTAGTGAGGCAGGGAGAGTGGTAAATGGCTTCCTAAAGATGAACTTTTGGATTTCTACATAATGCTAGTAGTTTTGTTGTGTCAGGACGACTGGTAAATAGACTGGTAAATAGCTTCTTGAATATAAATATGCGTCCTTTTGCATTCTTTTCTGTTCAGTAAAAACAGATACTAGGCTTTTACAGAAATGAAGGGATTTTTATCATAGATAAGTTATGTGTAATACAAAGGGTACAAGATTTTGCAGCTTGGCCAAAGAATCTGAAATAGCAAAAAAATAAAAAGTTCACACATCGTTGCAAGCTCGCAAGCCTTCTCTACGTTTCATGGCTTCCGGGTCAATGGCTTCCCTGTTCTTTAAGGCACAGAATTGCTCACAGGATAAACAACCCCTGCAAATGCTTATGAAGTATTTCCGAACCTTCAATCCGAAAAACAAAACTTTGATTCCGGCCAAGAATTCTGAGAGGTCGATAAGCCGAGGTAAATAAAATGGTTTGGTTATTGATATTTGTCACCATTGACCAACAATTCCATCACCAAATCATTCCAAGTATCTATTGGCCCAGGCAAGCACCAATGCAAGCAATCATTCTGAACTTTGGCATTTTTATCCTCGGCAAATGGCTGGAATTGCCTGTACGGACCTGGGTGCCCATCAGATCTCAACAATGAGAGATGGGTTGTGTCCAGTAGCTTCAAATTCACCCCCTCTTCGGATCCTTTGGCTGCAGCCTTCTCAAATTCTTCCAACTCAATGGTACGCATTACATTATCTACATCTTTTAAATCAACCTCACCTTCTTTGAATGGCACCGATCTATTACAATGCCCACCACTGAACCACTCTCCATTCTCAAAGTGGTCAGGCGTGGTGGTTCTGAAGAATACAGAGGCTTTATGATCCGAACGGGTGATGAAATTGAAAACCGCACGGAGAGCACTGCGGTAGCTGTACTCAAATCCTAACTCAGTTAAGTTCTTTCCGGGGCAGGAATGGCAGCCGCTGACTGTGTTGTTCTCATGGAAAATTGCAGTCTTAAGGAACCATTTGCCGACGCCAATCACCACGTAATCGAAGCTGTTGTATTGATCGGTCCATGTCTTGTCGACCTTGTCAAGATAAAGCTGAATTTCGGAAGTAGAAACTCCATTCATGTCTTCGAAAATATCTGCTCCAATGAGGAACGGAGTCCAAATTACCGAAAGGGTGAAGTTGTAAGATGGGAAATGCCATCTTTTAGACCTGTATTCTTTGTCATGGTATACTTCAACAGCTTGCTCCACCTGTGGGGACATAACCAGAAATGTGATCAACATTTTGGGACCAAATAATCGGAAGCCAACAAAGAATGTATGCAATGCTATAAAACAAGGCACAAACAGATAACCAGTTGAGGCAGCAAGTTTAATCTACAACATGTCAGATCATGGTCGGTCCTGTATCTATACAGGAATTATATGGTTATTATTATTATTTTATACAAGCAATATTGTGAGAGGGGTTTTCTCACACACATTATCAAGGTGTCGTGGGAGTTCAAACTTGAGACCACTGATCTACAAGTTAATGCCCTTTTCAACTGAGCTTAGACCCTGCTGGCATGGTCAAAAAATTATAGACAGGGCTTAAATGAAAATAGGCGGTCCTTAGCTCAAAATTCAGGACCTCAATTATCCCATTTTTTGTGGCTAAAAGTTACTCAATTCATAACCACATCTCCTCTACAACTACAAGGCAGGTCCTTGGCTCAACTATCATATCCTCCAATTTCCTAAATGATCACGCCCAAAAAGTTCTCCCATTTTTCATTTTTTTAACACAACTCTCAATAACTAAAAGCCATTTCACTATTGGCTTGTCTAAGACTCCCTTACCAACAAAGCTGGGAAAGCTGGGAAATTTTGACACTCTAGTGGGTAATAAGTAACAATTGTAGACTCTTTCGAACTCGGGGCCTTTTCCAACATTGGAAAAAAAAGTACCACTAAACCAAGAGCTAGTCGGTTAACAATTCTATATTCTTTCATGCTGATAATTACCTATGAAAACCTATTGGAGCTATGCATACACCAGCAATCATTAAAGTTCCAGAAACGACGTTGAATCTGAACCAATTATGATCCCACAGACATGGTAGGTAAACTTGCTATGAAAAAGACTCTATAACCAATTAGAAAGCAGTGGTCACCATGAAAGTGCAGCTGTAGTCCACAACTAAAATCAAAATTAAAGGTTGGAATTAGGATCACTAGTTATAGATCAAGAGTTAAAACAGACGTGCCAGAGAAGCGAAGTAAAAGTTTGAATGATTTTTGGAAGCAAAGCCAGTAAGATGACCTAAGCCCCGTGATTAATACACATAACCACATGACCCCACACAACATAGTTTGATCTAACTAGGTTTCCATTCAATCTCCAAAGAGGAAAAGTGGCTAAGGTTTCAACAATTTGAAAGCAAAATGCCACTTTTCAACAAAATCAACAAGTTTTAGTTTGATCTAAGCAAAATCTTGAAATGCTTTAAAATGTACCTGAGAGAGGATGCAAATCAATGACTGCACATGGTTACGCGAGATCGAATCGCCGACGAAAGCCCACGATTTGTTCCTCATTAGAGCAAGAAACCTCTGTGGATTGAACTTGGATAGCTCGCAGTCTCTTGGCTTCCACCTCCAGTAAATGTAGCCTGAATCAGGGCGGCCATTTTTCATACAATTTTGATGAGATTCCATAACATGGCAGCTTTCATTAGTGTATCTTGGTCCTGATGAGTCTGGTACCCAATCTCCAGTAAAAATGTCACATTTTACTGCCACTATATTTGTAAAAAGTAAATAAATCTGAGGCTAGCAAAGGTTCAAAGAAGCATTATGAGAAAGGCTTTTTTAACTTTACAGTGCAGCGACCTTATGTTGTCTGAGTTTTTCATCAACAGTTACAGAAAACAGAATTCACTAACAAAATTGCAAAATCAAGTAGAGAGAGAAATCAGATGAGAAATTTTGGTGAGTTTTCAAATGAAGAAATTGCTAATTTATCATTCATGCATGGAGGATGCAATAGGGAAGGAGATGGGGAAAAATAATAGTGTCAAAAAGGAAACTTTCTTAAGCCTAGTACATTTACACAGACTCATCCACTCTGTCCCCAGAAAAAAACGAATGAACAAAAACACAGAGACAGAGACAGAGAAAGAACAAAAAATTACTTACCATTTTGAGATGCTTGGCTGCTGTTTCCAGGAAAATCGACAGGACCAGGAGGAGGCGTTTGAGGAGGAAAAGATGGAACAGAGGAGGGCTCTGTTTCGTGGTCTGCAAGAGGAGGTGGCTCAACTGATAATCCAATAGAATCAGAATAGAAGAGTCGAAAAGCGAGACCCAACAAAAGAAAAGAGGCAGCAAACTTCACAAGTAGACGGTTATGTTTGTGAAATGACGATACTGGCTTTGATTCAAACTTCATCTGCTTCAACATTTGGTGTCGGAGGAAGAGACCAGAAAACTCTCTGGACCAGAATTTAGTTTTTTTTTTTTTTTAAGCAAAAAAACAAAACAAAACAGTGTTCAAGATGAGGCTGGTTTTTGGCAACAAACCACCAAACGCGGTTTTAGCATGAAAAAATATGTTGTCTTTATATTTTAGGTGGCTAGTAATGTCTGAAAAACACTGCAGAGTCTGAAGAGACGTACTGTCTGCTGCACACTGCCACCGGCGTGCGTGAGTTTGTGTTCTGTGTTTTGGTTTTGGGATATGCAACTTGCAAGGCTCTGTTTGGTTTCATGAAATGGACAATTAAACTTTTTTCTTTTTTTTTTTGAGTTGACAAAACAAAGGAGCTATAGCTAATAGGGTCAATAAAATTAAGGGAGTTTCACTAAGGGCGCTGATTTCCCCACTCATATTTTATCCACTTACACTCATTTTTTAGTTATAAAAAAGGAGTCTAAGTGGATAAAATATGAGAAAAAGGAGTGGGGAAATCACCACTCTTCACTAAAACACCCAAAATGGGGGTTGAAATTATAAAAAAAACCCAAACACTATTTAAACAAATAAACACACCCAAAACCCATCATTACACACACTCAAAAGTCATTCATAAACACACCAAAAAAGTTGACTTTGAGGTTGATTTTGGGAGTGTTTCTATGTTTAAATAGTGTTTGGGTTTTTTTATAAATATATGTCTAGGATTGGATTTATTTATAAATTTGTATAAAATTAATTTATATTTATTGTCTAATTATGAAGTCAAAATAGTATTTAAATTTGTTATTAGTTGTTTTGGGTGTTAAGCCTTTGGTATGTTTCTGTATTTAATTGGTACAGTTATTTTGGCAATAAGTTTTGTTGTTTAAATTATGCTGACGTTGGGTAGTAATTGAATTGACGTTTATTGTAGTGCCAAAAATTCTATTTAATTGAACAAAAATAAAACACATTCTATTTAAACCTTTCAAACTAAGTAAGAAGTAGCATAACATTTCGAGCAATTTTCTCACTTCTCTCTCCCCCACATTGCGCTTTCAATTTTTAGTTTATCTCGCTGGGGAAAACTCAAGTTGTTTACCTGACTCGAGTATTGCGAGTGAAAATCTATGAAAATTGAGTTCTATATTCCAAAAGATAAGTATTTTACTGTATTTTAATTGAATTTTTTTAAACTTACTAATATTTATATTGTGTGATGTTTTGCATCATCCACCAGCCAAATTTTCCAACATAATGTTGATTAATAAATAAAACTTGGGTGGATTTTTCTCTCTTTTTTTGGGTTGATAAATTTATACATGGGCATGTAACATGCGCACCAGGGAAAACAAAACAATTTATGTCCTAAGATATGCTTTAAATATAATATTTTTGTATCTGAATACTTAGATCTACCCACCTCACACCTTTGATTTGAATTTTAATAGTGGATAGATTATTGGATTATCTCAAAACAGCTGGCTTGAGCTTCTAGTGGAGCTTTAAAGTCTAATTTACATCACCACTGGACCAGCTTTCTAATTTATGTTTTTATTTTTATTTTTATTTTATTGGGAAGAAGAGAGAACTATATTAGGTGGATCACCTTAAACCCAAACCCAGATTTTGTACACTAATCACTTGATTTTTGCCTTTTATGTATTTGGGATGTTACATGTTTTTTTTTTTGGGGCAAAATTAGGAATGAAAATGGGGGTTTTCTCACATACACTATCAATGGGTTTGAATTTGAGACCACTGATATACAAATTAAGACATTTCCCACAAGTCGTTACATGCTTCCCAACCTTGATGAGTTTTATTTTCTTTGCTGGATGATTAGTTCAATTTTATTTTATTTTGGGGGGCGGGGGGTCAAAATCACATGTTTTCAAATTAATAGATACAATTTATGAATTTGAAATGATTAGGTCCAATGAATTCATTATGGTTCATGCATTTCTTTTATATCTTTGTATAGAAATAAAAAAAAATTGTGTTTTATTAACAGGATTTCGAGCCTCTGCATTTAAGCTTCCCGGAATCCATGGTTAAGGAAGGGAAGAGAGAAAGAAATGAGATGAGATGGAGAAATAAGGAAAAACACATACAATGGTTTAACCTAAAACTAAAATAGTTTAAAGTGGCACAGCGTTTATAGTTAAGTTTATTATCTATATATATAAAGCAAAAGGCTGAGAATGGTGAAACATTCAAAATACCTCAAAATGTCATTGGTTAATGCAAACATTAATAATTGAAATTATTAATTAAATGAGGATAATATGGTAAATTCACATTTTTTTATATTAAAAAAAAATCAGATAATAAATCTATTTTTATAGAACACAACTACTTATTATCTTTTTAAATTCTAAAAATAAAATAAAAATAAAAAAGAAAACCAATTGGCACATGCTCACGCATGTGCCAAGGGGTTAGTATTTTATAAAGCAAAATCCAATTTGAGAAGAAAACCCAATTTATGTCTGCATTTTTGTGGCAGTTAGAAAAAACTTTCAAGGGTGTAATGTGAGGAGGGGGACCAATTGGAGCTTGGCCCCTAGGGAAAGCGAAAGCTTTAAAGAGCTTTCATTTCAATCACATTTGTCAATTTCCATGAACTGCCTTTACTTTATTATCATCTGCACTCTGCAGACTGCATTGTCTTCAGCTCTCTTCTCTTACTTCCACAATTCTCCCTTCACAAGAAAAAAAAAACGTATGAAGACTGAACCAATACAGAAAATAGTACTTAACAAATCCAAAAGAAAAGACAAATTTGACAAATTTTTTTTTTCTTTGCAACAATGGAAATAAGTCTATTATACAAGAATTCCAATTAGCCATTCTTAATCTTTCTTTCTTGCCAACAGAGTCTAGTCTAGTTTAAAAAGCTTTGACTTGTATAACAGTAGTCTCAAGTTCAAATCCTCATAACACCTTTTTGTATATGAGAAAATTCACCCCCTTACTTTGATAGAAAAAAAAAAAAAAAAAACTATCCTTCTTTCTTCGGCATGGCCAAGGTCCTGGGCTCCGAGCACTAGGCTGAGATTGGGGTGAGCCCTCTATTTGAGGCCTACTGAACGCCCCAACACTATGCAGGGCAAGACTGCAAGTGGGGTTGCCATTGTGTCCTGAGGCTGCCATACAAATTGAATATCTTTGCGCATTTTTTGCACCAGACAAACCAATCATTGGCTTGGTCTGAATTTCACAACTCCGTTCAATTTTTATTTTTTATTTTTTTTTTTGGTCCCAAGATTGCCTCATCCCCTTCACAGGTATTAGTTTATCACACACACAAAAGAGGGAAATATTAACTAGTAGTAGCTGCTCAGGTCTGTTGCACATTCTTTGAATGGTTAAGCACCAATGGAACAAAAATCATAATAGCCATAGAACAAAAAACCATATACATAATATTTGAAGTCAGCTCAAAGAAGCTTACATGATCTACATACACAATAAAATATCAAACCAGAAACAGCTATACTAGATTTCAGATAAAACTAGCCTACATACCATCCAACAGTTTATCATTCATTTTCAGTGTTCTGCAATGTTGTACAGAACAGTTCAAAGAATTTTATCGGAGCAGTTTTCTTTTCCCTTATAATTTTACTTCCAAATTCAGGATGGAAGACTTGAGGTTCTCCACATGTCAGATGCGCCTAGTGATTTATACAAGTTGATTATGCAGCAGCTCTTGGAAGCTTCATGCCAAATCCCCTTTTTACCTTCTCAACCCTGTTCAAAGGGTCATAAGTACGAAACATTAGAAAATGTCCACAGACGCTGGTGGGATGTTTAGATTTTAGACAAGCAATAATATTCATGGTAAACCAAACAGGAAACAAGAAGATTGCTAAAACATACAATAGCATTAGTAAAATTGTAAAAAGATGCTGACAACCAAGTGGCTAAAACATGCAACATGTGAGGTGAAGTAAAATATATGAACAAATGTTCACAGCATATTCTGTTAAAGGATCTTCCTAGATTATCTGTGTCCAAAATAGTCAACATGTCTTTCATTCTAAGTTCCAACCATAACAGAAACCAACATTTCCACGATAAACGACAATATAAAGATTTAAATATGCCTATCTGCTCATCATGATAATAGCAACACTTTACTATCTAGAATAATTGACAAGTAGAACGAACTAAAAGAGACAGCCATCAAAGAATTGGTGCTTACGTTGGGGCAAGCTTGCCAAGACAATCAAGCTCTTCACCGGTGTCCTCATCTAGGACTCTCCCCGAGATCTCTATGATGTAAGATCTATCTCTGGTTGTGGGAAGTCCTCTACTGGACAGCAAATCTAAATCTTTTTGGTGAAGCTCTCTTCCATTCACAAAGATACCAGTATCTCCACCAGCACAGTTCTGAGGCATGGGATAATTGAATTCTTCAATAAATGGCTGCAAAAGAAAAGAATTCTCCTCAACATTAAGCAGAAAACCAATATAACTAATAGCTTATGCATTGATAATAGTGTAAAAATTTCTCTTACAGGAATCATGCCAAGACCAGGCCCACCCATGACACCCCAGAATCCAGCTCGGAAATCATACCTGTTTTAAGAAATTGAAGGCAAAGACATGAGTACAATGGAGGAGGTGAGAGAGATTACAGATGCAACAGTAAGCTATCCTTGAAGTATACTGTTAGCCCTCACATGTGGGCTCTCCCAACTCTAGTGAGCCCAACATATGGAATTCAACATACATTACAGAGATTTTAATCGGGGATCTATTCCGCTGCTACCATGATTAGTAGTATTGGTTTATCACTTTTTTTTTGGTCGAAAGTATTGGTTTATCACTTTTCCAAAAAGCTTAAGCTATTAAAATATAGGCCAACAAATGTTTTATCTTCCAACAAAGCACATATCTTCACTCAGTATGAGTTCTAAAAGATTATAAAGCATAGTTCCAGAAAGCAAACATGCTAAGAAATGCACTATGCGTTAGTGAGTGGACACTTACCAATATTGTCCAGGATGGACTGTTCCCGCCATCTTTTCAGCCTTCTTAAGCAGACGATCCGGTATTAATTGCCCATTAACTGAAACATTGCTTCTCCCATGCTCATTTGTTTGATTTGATTTGGAAAAATCCCTAAAGCTTTTCTTAATAAAGTTGGTAATAAATGATTCGCTCCCTTTGTTGGTTCTTGGCTGATCTTCTTCTTTGTTTGCGTCCCAAGAATCTTGGGAAACCCCAGTGTTAGAGTACTCATTAAATGATACCTCCATCTCAGTTGCTAGTGATGTCTCTTTTAATGAATTTTGTCGCGAGGTAACCTTATTTGGTTTTACCTTCTCTTGATCTGAGCGACTACTTCGGTTTCCCTTCCCAAGTCGGTTTATCACGTGACTGTTAGATGAGAATTCAAAATGCTCCTGTAGAGGTGAACCAGGAGGTGGAGGAGAAAAAGTGGCTTTGGTTGGCTGCTGAATAGAATTTGTGAATTCTTTTGGAGCAAATGGAGCTTCCGGATTGCAGTCATCCTCAGAGGTACTTGGAGATGAAGAATGAAAGCTTTGCATCTCATGAGGCTTGCCTGTTGTTGAACTTGGGGCTGTGGACGGTAAAACAGGTTCTCTATCTATTGAATGCCCGGGTGACACGTCCATGGGAATGTGAAGTACAATCTTTGACCACCTCATTCGAGCTAATATTAACCTCTGATGGATTTTGCTGTGCTTCTGCATGATGGGAAAGGACAAGTTTTTTATTGGAAACAGAAAAATCGATTACTGTAGAACAAGCCCCGCATCGCATTTTCTGTTGATTCTTTTCCCCAATAAGTACTCTCTTGGGCAGCTGCAGAAGTTCAAAGCAATTATTGCATGTTACAAATGGAGCACCACCAGAAAATGGAAGACATCGGCGGCCACCACTGGCTAGCACCACCCTCTCTGGACGGGAATGAGCAAAACTGTCCATGTGAGAGTTAAGGTCACTTGGCCATCTTGTATGGGGTTGGTCACTTGGGCGTCTTGTATGGGCTTGTGACACATGAAAGGGTGGAGGAATTGCAGTCCTAGGTTTGTTGTGATCATATGGACCAATCATCCCAGGATTTTCAGGCTGGGCCAACATGGGATTGTTAGGGAAATCAGGGAATCTTTTATTGTGAAAAGCAGTGGATGGAACTGGCACTGAAGCTCTTCTGTGTTTGTCATAGCAATAGAAACAAGGGCAAGTAGGATGGTGAAATGTTGCACTATGTGGGTAAAGCTCATAAGGATCAGGACTGTTTTCAGCATACTGTCCAGAAAAGTATGGATGAGATGGTTGCTGGTATTGCCTGGGAAAGGGATGAGGAGGTCCACTGAGCATTTGGGATCCAAAAGGATCCCCATATCCAGGAAAATGGTTTGAATTATGCATGGAAGGAGAAAAGCTAGGCATAGGCATTTCACGCCCATTGGTGTAGGGATATGGCTCAGGAAAGTGATTGAAATGAGAGTGTCCTTTGACATGTTTACCAGGTCCAAAGTACTGCATTGAAGCCCTATTTGTCCCTGAAGAAGCTCCTGGGTATGAAGCGTCAGAACTACCATAAGGATCTGGAGGAACCATCCCCGCTTCAAGGGGAGCTTTCTCTTTCGGCTTATCAACCAAATCACAAGACCGGCTAAGTTGATCCCTTAGCTCATCCAGCTTCTTTAGAAGCTCAGCTCGGTCTTGTTCGAGGTACAGAACTCTGTTTGCCCCATTTGGGTCATTAGTATTCCTCAATGGTTCCCCACCCCTATGAGAAGAACCCAAATGGTAATTTGATGGACCCTCATCTGGATAATTTGAAGTTGAAGACCTCATACCTTCAACATCAATTCTTGGATGTCTTCGATACCGCTCCCTTTCACCATTCTCCCAAGTTTGCCAATCTGCCATCCAGCCTGATCTTCGGCTTTCACTCATGGAACTCAATTCCGCATTCAAATCTCCATGCTCTCTTCCCAATGCATTGCTCAATTCATCTCTTTCCACGCTCATACCTACGCCATCCTCGACAGCTCCGTTATCAGTCGTCTCTTTGGCTTGCTTCCTACATATTTCAGCAGTTTTAACATCTTCCTTCTCTAAATCCCCGAGATCAAACCTCAAAGAGCCATCACTTGACTTAACATCAGTCAAAACAACTATTCCTTTATCATCTGAATCATCTGATTTAGCAGAAACTCCTCCAACCCTTTCTTCGTCCGACTTCACGGACAAAGTATCCCCCTCTTGCCTTTTCTTGTTAGCTGTAAACGAGAGATGTGAATATTTGATCCTCAATTTTCGAGAGACAAAATAAACTCAAACAAAAGAAATTTGCTTTATGTAATGACGTTCATATTAGTATCCTTGAGTAGGAAATGCGTTGATGGTAATGCTACTATTAAGTTCGATATCTGGTTTTCCAGGTTTAAAAAACTTAACCTCTCAAATCCAAATGATTGTGTGTTTGTGTTTGTGTGGAATTTGGTTTTGCATTGGGACTATACCACACAAAATTTCAAGGCTGGAAATCGTGAATTCATTCCATTTTCTAAGGTTTCTCATACATGAATCAAGCAGAAACTTCAACAGAATTATAAAAAAAAACAAAACAAAAATCACGACTATAACCATAAAGATTTGAAACAAACAGTAAGGTAGCCGTTGGTTACCAAGAAATCACAGAAATTGACATTTTGATCAGAAACTTGGAGGTAAAGAGTTTCCAGCCAACATGAATCATATGATTCAAAACGTAAAGTTTCTCTCTTTTTTCTCAAATTTATCACCAACCATACCAAATAATCCTCACATTGTGCAAAAACATGAAGCAAAGAATGAAACTAAAAAAAAAAAAGGCAAAGAAAGAAGAAGAAGAAGCATACCTCTTAGAACAGCACCACAACCACCACACTGATAAACAGAGTAATCAGCAAGCTCGGGGAGAAGATTCTCACATTTTGGGCACCGAACCAACCTCACTTTAGCTGAGTCCCCCATTTGCTCATAACCCAAGTCACCAAACAACCCCAAAGACAAAACGACCAAAAAACAAGCGACAAATTAACAACTGTTTCCAGTCAAAGTTTGCCTGCGGAAAAACCAAAAGGAAAACGAGGTAAAGAAAATGAGGTGAAAGGAGAAAGCTTTGGGTTGTTGCTAGAATGAGCTGAGCTGGGTTCCTGTTTTAAGGAGCTGAAACTGAGTGAGTGGGGAAGAAAGACAGGAAGTCTCTTTTTCTTTTGGGTTTTCTTTTTCAGTTTTCTGAGGAACCAAACAGAGAAGGGATGGCGTTGATGATGATGATGTGGAACTAGAGAAGTAGACGTGAGAGAGAAGAGAGCTTTTGTGGGGACAAATAATCTCTCGGAAAACTATGAGCTGGAAAAAAGAAAGAAAAAAAAAACAAGTGCTTTGAGAAATTCTATTTCCAGTAGATGTATGTGTTTTTGTGTTTCTGAGAAAATCTCTGCATTTATGCTCTGGTTTGTGTTTTTTTGTGTGTTTTTCGTGTGTGTTTTTGCTTTTTTTGTTTTTTTTCCTGCTAAATTTATATTATCAGTCACAGACCAAATGTGTGAGTCTTGGACCGTTTTCCAACGTTAAAGCAAATTGATATTTCCAAGGAACATGCCCCAAAACGACGACGTTTGGTCTTGAGACGGTGTCGTTTCTTGTGCACAAGCAGAGTGACTTTCGTTGGAATCGCAGTTTGTCTGGTGTCGTTTAACACTGACGCTTTCCTGTTTTTTACTATCCGCACCCCAACTTTACCCTTACGAAGGAGTGGAGGAAGCAAAAATGATATGGGCAGTAGCAAACCCACTTTTCTTCTCTTTATATTTTTTGCTTTTGCTTTATTCGATTTTTCTTTGATTTTGGTATTTTTTTTCTTTTTTCTAATGAGGGCTTTTTCTTGGTTGCGACTGGAGAGAGAAAAGCACTGTTTTGGCCGATGTGAAAGGTGGAAAGAAGAAAAAAGAGAGAGAGGAAAAACTAAAGAAGGTGCGTTTTCATGACACGTCTGACGACTAGTCTCTATACGAATCTCAATCAACCCCACTGGCCCCACCCCACACCTGACTATTAGTGGGCCCTAACCATTTGTCCATTGTGGCATTGTCGTCCTATCAACTACTACTTATTGCCATTCACATCTCTCACACTGCCAGATTTTGACTTTTATGAAGATTTTGATGAAAAGATGAGTCCAAAAAAAAAAAAAAAAGATGCAGAAAGGAAAAAAAATTGGGTCTTGTTTGTTTT